AAATGACCTCAATTTTTCTGGAAAACTCAGATAATTTTTTAGAACTTCATGAGAAAGGTTGGTTTAAATTCTGACGTTATCAATGATGTTTTGTTCAAATAAGAAGATAAGAATTGTCACTAAGTCAAGATGTGGCCACCCACTCAACAATTATTTATCAAAATCATAGTTTTAAATTTTGGTTTATAAAAGAAAGCATTTGCCATGCATTTAGGCATCTTGATTTCTAGATCAAGATCATGCTCTTGCTTTCTGTCTTTGTATTTTTGTAATACTTAAGTATTGCTTTCATTAGTATCTTATTTATGCCTTTCATTTCCTTTCCTTTACTTAATTAACTTTTATCTTATTTATATTCTTATCTTGTTTATTTATATTTCTCTTTTTCATTATATTTAGCTAAGTTTATTATGCCAAGGTGAAAAGATTACACTAATGGTGTAAGAATAATTATAGTGTAAATTTAACATAGACTTTAATGTTTGATACTAACATATTTTATATTTGTTATATTATTCACTCTTAATACTTTGCTTGTTAAATGGTTAATTTAGATTTATGTTGTATAACACTTGGCACAATAAATACTAGGCACTTTCATAGCCCAACCGTATGATGTAACTGACACTTGTGCTATGAAAGGAACTTGATTTGTTGTTTATATAAGTTATAATCATAAATGCCTAACAACATTTACAAGTATTAGCATTATTCAAATAAAATAATTAATGTAATTATGTTAACCATTTATAATCCCATTGGAACCTCCTTTGTGTGTGGTTTCCAGTTCAGTAATAAAAAGAGTTTATACTATATTTGTTTAAAATACCACTAGTAGATCCTCTAACTTTGACATTTGTTTTTATCATTGTTTGATCCTTACATCAATCTTTCTTCTCAAAGTTGTCATCAACTTCTTCTTCTTTATTATTATTTTTGTTGTTGTTATTATTGTTGTTATTATTGTATTATTATCGTTTATAATTTATACAATTAACCTCCCTGTGGTTCAACCTCAGTCTTGCCAGGTTATTTATTACTTCGACACTCCTGCACTTAGGATAAGACATCAATTTTTTGGTCGTGTCATTACTCAATTGGAAATCATATATAAAGGAGGTTCCAATCGGATAATTTGTTATTAATAGCTTATTATAAATTATTAATATGATCATATTAATTATTTTATTTAAGAAACACCAAACTTTTAAATATTATCAGAAATTCATGATGCTAACTTATGTTAACAACAAATCAAGTTCCTTTCATAGTACATGTATAGGTTATACCATACGGATGAGTATGTGACACGACCAAAAGATTGATGTCTTCTCCTAAGTGTAGGAGTATCAAAGTAATAAATAACCGACAAGACCGTGGTCGAATCATAAGGAGGTTAACTGTATAAACTATAAACAGATGAAGCAAATAAATTTTTTTGCATGATTTTTTATTAGTGAATCCATCAATAACAATTATTTTGATAGACCACAAATCATGTTGATAAACTATGAGTATAAATATTGATAAAAAATTTCATTGTTTAATATAAATATTTTGGTAATGATTGTGGTAGTGATGATGGAGAAAATGGTGCTCAAATGATAGTAGTGGTGACATGGTAGTGGTAGTAGAGGAGGTAAACATAAGCTGGTAGTAATAATGGAGGTGAATGATGAGGTTGTAGTGGTTGTTAAATGGAGGTGGTGGTTGAAATAGTTGGATGATGTTATAAGTGAATTATATTTGTAAAAGATTTTATAAAACTTTATAAGCTAAATTTTTTTTTGAGCAAATGAACTAAATTTAAAGATTGATTATAAAAAAAAATTTATTTATCAATTTTCTTGTAAAATATTTTATAAGAAATAAAGTTTATAAAAACAAGCACACAAGAATTTAAAAAATATTTTATTGTAAAGTATTTACACCAAATAGACAAATCTTTAGTCCTTGTGTCTCTTATGATATCATGAATAATTAAATAGTTCTTTTCTTAATATTGGCCATTTTTAATTTATTTTAATAGTATTTTGCTCCAAAATCCTTTCATTTGTATTATAATTTCACCATCTTACCTATTTTTCTTTTCTTTATTCTATTTTCAATAAATAAAAAATAAAATAAATTTTAAACAAACTCAAAATCTACTAGCTAGACAAATTATAAAAACAATAAAAAAATTAGGATTAATTATATAATTTCCAAAATTATGAGGATTAAATAATTATTTTTGTTAAATAATAAGAACTAAATTATAATTTACTCCTATATATCATAGAAATGATATAAATAATCATCCACTAACATTATGACATGTGTGCCAGTAGGGGGTTAGATTAATTAGATATGAGATATTAGGTTAAGTTATACAACTAGTTTATTATTCTATTTGTGTACCTTTGCTCCATCTAGGTTTGATTTAGGTTTGATTTTTATTTTAAATAATGTTTAGGTATTGCAAATATATATATATATATATATATATATATATATATATATATATATATATATAT